GTGGTTACGATTTCAACATCGTCTTGCTCAACCATTATGGCTTGGTATTTCAAAAACCTCTGTGGGGAAAGCCAATGCCCTCCTTTCGCTTCGAGGACCACAGATACAGTGTGGGACACTAGGACAGTCATTTTCTGGCCCAGAGTGAACTTATGAATAAAACCCACAAGCAGCGTTCTTATGCAAGCCCTTGCTGAAAAGCAGAACTCTTTTTAGCAAACAGTCTACATTTTAAAATTCTTAATATGTATAACTAATAATTATTTTCTATCTTTCATTATTCTTACTCCATATCACCTTGATATTAGAAAATGCATATCTTTCTCAACTTCAATATACAATTAAGAGTTACTGTATTAGTTGTGGACTTGTCAGTGCTGGGTTAAAAGTTGGACTTCATCTTCAAGGTCTTTTCCAACCTAAATGATTCTATGATTCTACTCTGAATTCATTCTTTTTCAAGGATATTGAACATCTGAATCTAATTATCACATACATGCATATCAACTTTTGTGGCACTATATTACTACAAATGAGAAATAAGTTAACAGTTCTTTTAAAACATCCTGAGAACTTTAAATAGATTTCCCTCTTTTATTTTTTTTTTAATAGAAGTGTGTTTTTTCTGAAAAGATCTGTATTTAATTTAATGTATGCAATGTCCAGAAATAATAATTTTGGCTTCCAACGCATGTCGTGTATCAAATCTTTGCAGATAACATGAAAATGAACTCTTGAATGCTTTGGAATGCATATAATTTGGAAAGGTCTCAACTTTGGGGTGTGAGAGATTGTTTTACGTGTAATGACTACAGGTGTTCCATTATTGATTATAAAACCATGAAACTTCAGTTTTTGTAATTCACAGGCTAAATTTGAATTCTGAGACTTTAATTCTTTGCTGTAAGGCATATGCAGCTAATAGTTTGTTATAAAACCTGTAGGTAGTGTGTGTCATCTTTTTTTTTAACTTTCTATAAGTATGATGAAATTACAAACTCCACAGAAAGTAGGATGTAATGATGGCTATGCACATCTCATTCTCCTTAGGAGTCACAATTGTCTTGAGGCTACAGAAGTGTAGTTGGCTTGTTGTCTAATACAGTTCTTATGCTCCCTAATCTCTATACAGGGGGGTTCAAACATATATCTGCTAGTCAAGAAAGCGTGCTCTTTTGTCTGTCTGTCCTTCCTCGTTATTTTTGTGTCATTTGGGAAGATTATGGGTTGTCTATTATCTGTAGCTCTTCTCAGCAAAAGTGCCTGGCTATTTTATCTGTTTTCCACCAGAGTTTAAGGGGTAACAGCCTACTAAAGCTGTAGTATATCTGTGATGCAAAGAATGACAGAATTATAAAGATTTTCACTGGCATTTTTCATTGGAATCAGTTGGAGGAACATCTGAGATTTGATGCTTGCAGAGGTTAAGACTTGTGCATTTATTTTAATAGAAGATAAGGAGGAAATGAACCCCATCTTCAACTCTGAAATGAATGGTTAAATTTGTTCTGAGATTTAGGAGTGAACTAGCTTTTTAATTGGGAGGATGGCCTGCTAATATTACTTATAGTAAAATAATTAATTAGACCTAAAATTTACTCAATCTAAATGCTCACTAGTCTATACTTAACCAAAAAAACCCTCAAACTGACTATTGTTTGTTTTTTATTTTAATGATACAGGAGGAAATCGCTAAAGACCTCTTGTCAGGTGATGATGAAGAAACACAGTCCTCTGCTGATGATTTGACACCATCAGTTACTTCACATGAGGCTACTGACTTCTTTCCTCGGCCATTAAGATGTAGGAAGCCTAATTTTATAATAGTACTCAAAGTCTTAGCATTATATATAGCTTCCTAGTTTAAAATATCAAAATTGCAGAGTGGTGCTGACTTTACTGGGAATTGAGAAATGGTGCTTTGCAGGGCGTTGTGCATGAATATTGTCTTCAGTTGGTAATATTGATTACCTAAAAGACCTATACTTATTTTTGTGTTCAAGGCACAAGTACAATTAATTTTTCTACAACTACAGTAACTTTTCATAATTAAGAGTGTTGAGGAATACTAATCATGATTTTTCAATATGATAGTGAATAACATAAATATTCAACCCATTCTTTTAGTGTTTCTCTACTAAAATTTTTGCTGCTGCTTTTATATAGTGTATATATAGTCTTGGATATTGTCTCTGATGTTGATAATTCTATTTAATTGTGATGAAGCCAAAATTGCAACCCTATTTATGAGCATATTGTTACTGAAAATTGAGAACATAAAATAGCTTTAATCTTATCGGAACTGTAGATTCCATTCTGCCAGAGGTAAAATAAAAACATAATTGCTTCAGAACCCGGTACCACAACATTCCAGGTTTGAAAATGCAAGTTACTCTGGAGTACTGTATTTTAATTACTTGGAGCGCTCTGCTGTGTTTCTTCCTGGGGGGAGGGGAATAAACAGTCTTTTGCTGTCTCTTGCTTATTCTATTTTGTGTATATCTACTATATCTTCACTCCATGCTGAGGCAGCCTTGTTTAAAGGAATGTTTTAAATGCCCATTAAAACTTCTTTCAAAAGGCTTTAGTAGGTAATATTGACTTGCCTTCAACTTTACTTTTTGTGATTAACCTGGGGCTAAGTCATAGCCCTGGAAGTTTTCTGTTTTTTTTCTCATACCTTTTCTATAAGATATAAGCTTTTATTGAGAATTTTTCTTCATCAATTTTCTTAATTTCCTTTTGACTGTTATAAATATAGTAGATTGTCTCAGTTGTGGTGATGATAAATGTTTCAATTCTGCAATATGTAAATACCAGTGCTTTCTGGCTTCATGCTAGTTTGATAGAAGTGTGAGAGTCTGTTGATCCACGAGTGTCTCCCAGAATAAATGCAGGGGCTCCTTTAAAAAGTAAAGGATACCTTGTAGTTCTGTGTTTGAACTGAAAATTCTTTCTAGCTAAAACCAAACTTCTTTGTCTGAAGCAAATACTACATGTGAAGGGGATAAGGAATGTGATGGTGAAGACGTAGAGGCAGACAATAGTAATTCCTCTGAAGATTTGAGAAAGGTAATAACTATATCTTTAAAAAGTTTAAAACTTTACTGTGAAGAAAAATGCATTAAGATTTAGAATACTTATAAAAAATACCACCTTCATTCTGGAATTCTCAGCAAATGCCATGTTAATGGAATTTGTAGTGCTTCCATGCACAAAATATTAAGCTAATACTTTTTTGTTACATCTTCAGGAAATAATGGTTGGTTCACAGTATCAGGCTGAAATTCCACCTTACCTTGGCAGATATAGTGATAATGAAAAAGGTAAGCTCTTCTGTTTTACTTCTCATCTTATGTTTATACACAGCAGTTAATGGAAAAACGTTATTTATAAGATAAGGTATCAGACTACACTAATTTAAAACAAAACTAAACAAAAAAATGCTAGTTGTAATGATAGATGCTACTCTCCCTTACTATGGAAATATGATGGTGATAATAGTATCAGAAGTACCTGCACAAGGAGGATGTGTGCTGAATCTGACTTAGTGTACATTGATAGGCAGTGTGTGCCTAACAGAGGTGTGATGAGGATCTGAACTGTGAGGATGGGTCTGACAGAAATGCTGAACTGTGCTGAGTAAATGAAACCAGCTGAGGACCTCAGTCAAGCCAGTGTATCCCTGAGTCCTGGGAATATGATGGAAAAGGTGGGGAGTGATGATTTTTGCACCTGGTGGTAGCGTGAAGGTTGTGGCTCATCCATATGTCAAAGGACTCAATCGAAGTGCTGGGATGTAAACCCCCATCCCTGAATGAGGGTTGGCATATGGATGATGTCCGCAACCAGGCACGAAGGACCCTCCTGATTGGTTTTCACTCAGGATCTGGCCAGCCTTGGGTGGGAATTAGGAGATCAGCACCAGATGCTTCTCCCTCAGCATGAATATCGGGTGTCCTGCCTCCAAGTTAACAGTATATAAGCTGGCTCTGCCTGCAGTGGTGTTGGGGGAGTTTACTTATGTAGTGAATATGCTATTTTCAGTTATTGGAAGAGCCCCCCCCCAACTGCCCATTGTGGGGTGACCTCCCAGCAATGGCAGGACATCAGTACGGCTGGGAGCAGAGAGAGGAATACATCCATAATAATGGAACCATTTTATGGTCATGGCTACACAATTGGTTCCTCAGTTGATTTGCTCCTGTCTTCACTGCGTCTAGCACCATGAGTGAATATATCAGCCTTTTCATTCCTTTGGTGTTTGGCTACCTCATATATGATTTGGAATTGGAGGGATATAGCTTGTGTGTTGCCTGTTGGTGATAATATCATTCCTATCAGGTTATGTGGTCAGCAAAAGACTAGTCAACTGAAGTGACACAACCACATAATTGTCTCAGAAGTGTCATAATTGCCTCAAAAACTTTGAGAGGTTCTTAAGAAGACATAGGAGGATGGATTACAGTGTCAATTCTGAATTTGCAATTTCCTGAAGAAGGAAATATTTTCATCAGAGTAGAGCTGGGCTGTGAGCATGTAACAGTTTACATGGAAGACCTTCAAAACAGTGTTTTGTTTTGTTGTTTTTTTTTTTTTTTTTTTTTTGGCAAACGGCAGCATGGGTTACAAAATGGACATGGAAAACAAAGCCATAAACTACTAAACTTCCATAGCATGAGTAGATGTAGGTCCTGATACACCTTGTCTTTTTGAAAAATGTTGGTTTAAATATGATGTTTCTGTGTAAGTTTAGGTTAAAAATGGCAATTGTGTGCTAGAGTAGAAAAAATAACCTATTAAATGGTTTTATTTGGTATCTTTAGAAACTTTCACTATGAGAAGTATAGCACATAGCTGTGGAATTCAAAAGCTAATATTGATTGTTTGCTAATGGGTGGAACAGCTGTGAAATTAAGGAACAGTTTGGGGGATATGTTAATAAAGGGCATTCTGTTTTTTCTTCTAAGTTACTTAAGTGTAACATTTAACGGGAATATCATTCTAGTGAAGTATATAAAGTCTTTTCACCATTACCAGCTGCTCTTTGAAGAATGATCCTTTGCAATAGAGAAGAATGTTTAGTATGAGTGGAGCTGGAAGCATTAATGAGTTGAATATCTCCTGTTGCTTAAGAGATGGGGGAACTAGGGAAGTTTCCTAAGAGTCAAGTATTATGCTTACCAGTTGTAAGAAATGGAGAAGTAAGAACCAGATTTATCTGGATAGTCCTCCTACTATTTACACATTTTGACTTCTCCTTGGCTGAGAACTAGAGAAAGACCAGTAACCAGAGTATGAGCAGGAAGGCAGGCATTAATCTGACAACTTTCTCTGTAATGAGCTGGTGTTAGAGAACCAGTGAGAAAAGACCATCCGTTGGCATGGCCAAGAGCGAAGAAGTAGCTCCCACATGGGAGAGCCTGAGGAGTTTCTCTTGAGAATATCAGGTGTAGACCCCAGTGAGAAGTGCTGGGTTGTCTTGGTTGATAACAGAGGTTGAAGCTGAACATCAGCAGTACTCAGAGAGGTTGGACCTGGCTGTATGAGTGGAAGATTCTGTGAGAGCCTCTTCTGTACTTCCTGAAGAGCTTGTGATGGTGATCAGGGACTTATTTGCTGACAATACTAAGCTGGGTGGTGCAGGTGACATGCCAGAGGGATGGGAGGCCATCCAGAGGGACTTGAACTGACTGGAGAGGTGGTGGGCTCAGGTGAACCTCATGAGGTTCAACAAGACCAAGTTCAGGGTTCTGCACCTGGGAAGGGACAACCAACATTACCAATACAGGCTGGGAGAGGACATGTTAGAAAGCAGTCCATTGGAAAAAGACTTGGGGGTACTAGTCAATGAGAAGCCGGACATGAGCCACCAATGCGCAGCGATAGCCCAGAAGGCCAATCAAATCCTAGGCTGCATCAAAAGAAGCGTGGCTAGCAGATCGAGAGAGGTGATCCTGCTGCTCTACTCTGCCCTGGTGAGACCTCACCTGGAGTACTGTGTCCACTCTGGAGCCCCCAGCACAAGAAGGAGCATGTTCAGAGGAGAGCAACAAAAATGTTCAGAGGGCTGGAGCACATCTCCTATGAGGACAGGCTAGAGGGTTGGGGTTGTTCAGTCTGGAGAAGAGGAGGCTCTGGGGGGACCTTATAGCGACCTTCCAGTACCTGAAAGGGGCCTACAAGAAAGCAGGGGAGGGACTATTCACAAGGGTTTGTAGGGACAGGACGAGGGGTAATGGCTTTAAGCTAGAAAAGGGTAGATTTAGGTTAGACATTAGGAAAAAGTTCTTCAATATGAATGTGATAGACCACTGGAATAGGTTGCCCAGACAGGTGGTGGATGCCCATCCCTAGAGGCATTCAAGATCGGGCTAGATGAAGCTTTGAGTAGCTTGATCTAGTTAGAGATGTCCCTGCTTATAGCAGAGGAGTTGGACTAGATGACCTTTGGAGGTCTCTTCCAGCCCAGACATTCTATGATTCTATATTTCTGCTATGTAGTTCCAGCTATTGGAATTATGCTAGAAGGCAGTTCCGCTCTTCTACAAACTTTACATTTGTAACACGTCTGTTTGAAAGCTTTCCATGTTTTTAGCAAAACAGAACTTTCAAAGGAGATTTAATTTTATTCCTTAGTGTTTTTTCCTACACTTCTGAGAGATTTGAGTCTTTCATCTCTTCCATTATAATTGCCATTATGCTTGTGTGTTTGAATTTAGTAACTCTAATTTTGTATTGCCAAGAGAGTACATGAAGCATGTGTAATATTAATTGTATCTATTGATTAGAGTGAAGGAGTTAGTTCAATCTAGAATTTAAATGTTCACAGACGAAGGTTCAGGCCAACTCCTGAATATTTCCAATATATTGTCTTTCAAATATGCCACTGAAGAGGTGCATATGTGCTTTCAGTATACTGTTAAGGAGGACTATACATTCTGATTGCTTGTAAAATATGGAACATATGTGTTAAAAGCATTTGGTTGTTAGTGAACAGAAAAAAAAAATTACTGCAGTGAGACCTAGATTTCCGTTTTGTTAAATAACTTTTGGCAAATCTTAGTTGAAAATGACCAGTTAGCTACAACCTCTTTTTTAATGTAATATTTGAAATATTACCATAATATTCTGCACTTATTCAACTGTTTCAACAAATAAACTATAGTTTACAGAAAAAAAACTGAGTGGTTTTGCTAGTTTATATGAAGATGATGAATGCATGCATAATTTGCCTTGAATCATCTAGCTGTCAATAAGCTGCTCCTCTGTAAAGACTGTCTTGAGTTCAGTCCCTTGTCTCATCCTTGTGGAACCTGAATCTCTTTGCCATACCACACTACATGGTCTGTCTCTTAACTGATGCTTTTGGGGAAAAAGTGAGCTGCAATTTAAGTGGCATGATGGTGCTTGATTTTATTACTTCTGTATTCATGTTGCTTATCTTCATGAAATCACTTTGTTATAGCCTTAAAAAATGTCATGTCTGGCATTAATGGATTTCTGTTTTAACAGCCTATGAAAATGAAGACCATTTACTTTGGAAACCTGATGTGATCTCAGAAAGTAAAGTTAAAGAATATCTTTTTGAAACCTCCTTAAGAACAGGAAATGAAAACAGGATTAGCAGAATTTCTGAAGGACTACATACACGGGACAATGAACAAGTATGTTTTATATCCTGTTCATATGTTCTCTTTCTCTGCCTTGTATTATAAAGACAGCAATATTCCATTTTTTTATTAGATCTTTGTAACAGGGTTGTCTTTGTAATTTTAAGCATGTGCTTAAAATTATGAGTATTTGTATGTTGGCAGTGTTGTGATCTGTGATGTTTCTGATTGCCATGCTGTTGACAAATCCAGCTTTTCTAATAATTGCATATGATGTTTTATATTTGCTTAATTGAACCATGCCTTGACTCTTTGGTTATTTTGAAATGTTCATCCTGTATAAAGAAAAAAAATCCTCTTTTACATTAGATATGCTTACTGAAAGGCTAGTTTCAGAAGTTTAGATTGGTTATTTGCAAACTTTGACTCTTTCAAAAGACTCCTTCTATTTTATAGGCACTATATGAACTTTTCAAAAGTAGCCATAATGTTAAAGAAGCAATTGAGAGATACTGCTCAAATGGAAAGGCATCTCAGGGTAAGAGAGTGTACCTGCTTTTTAAGAAATATGTGTTTGGAGGGGGGGAGGGAAAATTTAAAAGTTGTGTAGAAATAACTTCAATAAGATTCAGACTTTAGCACATCCCTTCCCACGATGTCTTTAGCACAGATAACTGATTGTTGGCTAAATGGAAATTTCTCCTTGGAGAAGCTGGCAACTTGTATAAAGGTTGCAGGATCAGCTTTTATGCCTTTTCTTCCTTTTTTTTCCCTCCATTGCCATTTTAAAAACATCAGACTGAGAAGAAGGATGAAGGGAGTTGAAATTCTGCTTCCCATAAGGCAGTTCTCATCCACATTACCTTTTGAAATCATGATCAATCTGATGACATTTATACCATGATGATATTTATTATACATAGCTGGCTATGTAAGTGAGCACCACTCTTCATCATTGCACTAACATTGTGCTATATCAACCCTTAACTGGTTCTACTGTATATTTCTATAGGTCTTTGGTAGAGTATGGAGAGAGTTGCTTAAGTTGACAGTGGAAAATGAGCTTCCATCTTGTTTGTCCTTAACTTTATTACTCCCTTAAACAAAACTCAGAGTTTATCATTTAGTGAAGATGGTTCTTTATCCTGTATTTTAAATGTGTTGCATAAAGCAGAAATGGACTATGAGCCTTAGTGTAAATTCATATTCTGGCAAGTATTCCCTACTCAGAACTGGATCCAATGGGAATTTGAGTGTTTACAAGTTAGGTATTGTGAAAGCTAAGTATCTAAGGTAAAGCTGAAGGGAACAAGAAGGAATATCAGCAGTGCTTCAGAAAGTTCTCATACAAGAAGAGATTGTGTAGAGCCAAACAATAAGTATCAGATGCAGGGCTGTATCCTAAACTCCACACCTCTCTATTATTTATATTCTTCATTTGGGATTGAACTACTTGTGGGTCAGAGCTGCAAATTCTGTCCTAAGGACTAGTACTCCCTCCCTCCCCTGCCCCAAATCAGATGGAATTTATGCACTTATTAAAAATGGTAAAGAATGATAATACTGTTAGTTCCTCTCAAAGTAACCACTGTGCTATGATCTACTTTACCCACTGAAGTTTACTGCTATTCTCAAGATGTGGATTCTCAACTCTCATCTCCCAAGATAATTTTTTAACAGTGAGACTTTACATGGGGATCTTTCCTTCTCTTTGAAGGTTGAGAACTTCATAGTAAGGAGAAATGTTTGTTGGTTCTCTCTTCCTCCCTCCCCCCCAGCTTTAAACAACAGCTGATCAGATCACCATTATGAATGTAAGATGTCTAAAATATTACTCATTATATATAGGCACAAAGCCATAATCAAGATAGGGAAGCAACAATACTTGAGACAAAACTGACCTCAAGTAGTTTGAGCTACTTTGTTTTAAAGCTCTTATTCTTTTTTAGTGATTTGTTTTGTTTAATTTGTAAAACTAAAATTACGTTTCATATTGAAGAGCTTGTTCTTTCACTTTTTTCCAACAGCCACTGTTCTTTATCTGATGCAAGAAGAAATATTCAGAAAAATAATCTCACTGATATCTCAGTGATGATATCAAATTTGGTTTTTTGATAACCTTCTTAAGAAATAATAAATCAAGTCTTTTGAATGTCCTTTGCCCTTCAGGATAAAAGTTTTCAGAACTCAGACTCTTTTATGAGTATAAACAAGAATACTAGATTTCAGGTAGGATATCTGTATTTCTTCTGCTGACTGCTTGCCCAACATAGAAGGATATTATCATTAATGGGCAGACCAGCAACCAAAGGTCTCCCTCTGCTCTTACATCATACACCAGAGATCCAAGGGTGGCACACCGCTGGAGGGAGAAATAAGTTAATGCACTCACAACACAGGATGTGCAGAAGGGAGCAAGCTAGCCAAAGATCCAAGCCATGGGAGATGGAATCAGACAGGCCATGAGTCCCAGATAGCACAAGAAGATCATGAATTTCTGTCCTGGAAACTCCACTTCCTATGAAGAGTCAGTCAGGGAGCCCTTTCAAGAACCAGTACCCCCACAGAGCACATCCACTGCATAGAGAGACTTCCCAACTCCACTGCAAGCAGAGTCAGTTCTTATAGAGGTGGCTTCTTACCCCACCTCCAAGTTAATGTGGAAGACAGGGGCACCTGGTGGTGATCTAATCAGTTCCCACCCAAGGCTGGCCAGACCCTGGGTGAAAACCAATCAGGAGGGTCTTTCTTGCCTGGTTTTGGGCATCATCCATATGCCAACCTTCATTCAGGGCTGGGGGTTTAACTCCAGAACTTCAGTATAATAGAGGAAAGAACATAGGTCTAAATAACACAAATATCCTTTGTAAAAAGATAGTGAGTGAAAATAAGCTCATCATAGTACTTTTGCAATTGTCTAGAAGAGATGACAGCATGGACAGAAGAAGAATGCAGAAGCTTTGAACATGCACTTCTGCTTTATGGAAAAGACTTTCATCTCATACAGAAAAACAAGGTTAGTATTTTAAATGGAAGAATTGGTAGATAAGATGCTGAAAACTTATAAGAAGCGCTGCAAGTTTTCAGAAGCCATGCAGAAGAGTCAAATAATAACCAATGTATTTAAACCAG